TAAAAACAATGTTTGTAGCAGTTTTCTTAAAAACATCTCCAAAACAAAAGCAATGCAAATGCTGGCCAACTGCAGGAAGGGTCAGCAAACAGTTCAAAGTTCACTGAAACAAGTAGGACACAGTCTAGAAAAACTGCTACACCAACTGCTACACACAAGCTCATAAGGCCAATCTCAAGGATGCGGTCTTGAGTGAAAGAAGCGGTGTGCAGGAAAGTGCCCAGCAGAGTGTGCAGGAGAGTGTGCGGGAGAGAGCATACGATATGGTTTTCTTTGTATCAAATGCAAGAACTGACTAACTTTTGCTATTAGGAGTCAGGGCGATGATCAGCCCTAGGAGGTGGGTAGTGACCAAGAGTGGGGCTGGGCACTGTGTGGGTCTTGGTCTCATGGGTATGTCCAGTTTGAAAACTCACAGATTGTACATTTATGAGTTGTAACCCTCCTTTTCATTTTCTTTGGGCGGGGAGGGGCACCCTACCATGAACTGCATCCCTAGCCCTTTCTATTTTAAAGTTTATTGTGAGACAGGGTCTCACAAAGTTGCCCAGGTTGGCCTCAAACTTGTGAACCTCCCACCTCAGATTGCCAAGTAGCTGGGATCACACACCAGGTTTATGTCCTCTTTTGTATATGGCTCTGTCAATTTATAAAGCTTGTGCGCACACACACACACACACACATCAACACACATATACATATCTACATGTATTTATACACACAAACATGACGAATGTGTAACACACACACCACTTCCAGGCAGATAGAAGTGTGTTTTAATTCATGAATGTTCTAATTCTGCCACTCATTAGGTTTATTTATTTATTTTGGTGCTGGGGATTGAACCCAAGGGCTCTACCACTAAGCTCCATCTGCAATCCTTTTTATTTTGAGACAGGGCCGCCCTAAGTTGTTGGGGCCTTGCCAGGTCCCTGAGGCTGGCCTCCAACTTGCAGTCCTCCTGCCTCAGCCTTCCAAGTTGCTGGGATTGCAGGAGTGCGCCATTGTACCTGGCTCACTTACTACCCTACATAGGCCCTTACACTCCACTGAGCCTCAGTTTCCTCATCTGCAAAATGAAATTAACAGGACCTGGAGCAGTGAACAAGGAAGCATGTCCAGATTCCATGCTTATTGACTCCTCTTGCTACAGTTCCCTTGGTCACTAAGCCCAGGCTGGAACAGGGTAGCAGTGAGGTCACTGTCCTCAAGGAGGACGGGTCCTTGAGGAGTGCCTGTTTGAGCTGATAAACTTGCAAACTGCTGCAAAGAGACATGTCCAATCAGGAGGAGCAGAGGAGGGGGTGGGGTGGGGGGCTGCCTGGGACCAGGCTGGGGGACTGACCACCCCAGGCAATTAGGGGGATCATCGAGCTGGGGAAACAGATCCCTGTCTGGTTAGCAGGGCCGTTCACTATCACGGGGCAATCAAGACAACTGTACAACCTTCAGCACCTTCTTGGCTGAGCTTCTCTGGGCTGTGGAGTCAGGTTCTTTTCACAGTAACCTCCTCCATGGGGAAGCCCAGTAATTTCAGGAGGCCCAGGCTGGGCTCCAGGATCCCCATGGCCCAGTGATCTCACATATGAGGAGAGGGGATACTGAGGGAGACCCGACTGCCCCTTGGGAATAACTCAGAAGAATTCGACTTGGGTTGAATTCCATACTAGCTCACTTACCAGCCGTTTGTCCTCGGGTGGGCCAGGTGACCCTCTGGCCCTCATTTTTCTCATAGTGTTTGTAGTGAGGATCAAAAAGCTTCCCTCCTCACAAAGAGTGAAACCTAAAGTGTCCGCATGGCCTCCAATGCACAATTATTTGGTCCCAACAGCACCGGGGCTCATTCCCTGTCTCAGCCCCTGTACACTTTGCTATTCTTTATGAAACCAAGCTCCTTCTCACTGCAGGACAAGGGACTTTCGTTTTCCCTGCCTAGAATCACATCCTGCCACATCTTGCTGCGGTGGTCAGATCTCAGCTGAGCGTCACTCCTGAGGGGGCAGGTCCTGCCTGGCTGCCCTGTCTAGAGCAGCTGCTCCCAGGCCTCTCTCCCTCTCTTCTCCCAACCTGCCTTCCCAGCATTTGCAACTGAGTGGAAGAAAATGGCTTGTGAATTTGTTTTCTTGCTTACTCCTGTCTTCCACACCCGACTGGAGAGCTCTTGAGGGTGGAATGACGCCCCTCTCAAAAAAGACAGGTGTACATTCGAATCCCTGGAACCTGTGAATGTGACTGTATTTAGAAAAAAGGTCTTTGTAGATATCATGAAGACCCCAGGATGAGGTTATCTGGATTGTGAGAACGGGCCCTACCTAACTCTAATGCAAGTGTCTTAATAAGACACTCAGGGACGGATATACACAGAGGAGGTCTCATACACAGAGGTAAAGACCGGGGTGTCATGGCCACAAAGCCACTAGAGCTGGAAGACACAGAGAAGACTCTTCCTCTAGAGCCTCCTGCAGGAGCACGGCTCTCTCAACACCATGCTATCTAACTGGCCACCAGAGTTGTGAGAGCACACATTTTCATTGTTTTAAGCCACCCAGTTTCTGGCTATTTGTTATGGTGGCCTTAGAAAACTAATGTGGGCAGAGAGCTTGTACGCAGCTCTAAACACCCCTCCACACAAGTCAGGTGCATTCCCATGTGCATACAGGCTCCTGCACAGCCAGTGTGAAAACCTGTCGGGCTGTTGTAGCCTTGGCCCAGAAATGAGGGGCTCTTTTGGTCTCCTAGGATGCTGGGGGCAGGGAGAGGCTTTGCTAGCTGGAGGCTTGGAACCCTAAATGTGTTGACGGAGACATCAGGAGAGTATAGCCAGTGACCCGAGTCACAGGATGTTAGGGTTTCCCAGGCTCTTTCTGTGGCAGCATCCGGTGTCAGGAGCCATCCATGGGATAACATGTGGGTCACTGTGCATGGGAGCTAGTGAAGAGAGACACCTGGTGTCTGGAAATGATTGTTGGGTTCCAACCCCATATTGTTTTTTATAGGCTGTGGACAATTTTTCTGGTCAATTGCCCAGGGACAATGTGAATTTCTAATCCACTCTGCCGTGGCCCACACAGCACCTGAGATGGGTGTGGCCTGCCAAGATGTCAATCAACCTGCTGACTGCAAGACATCCCCAAGCAAGACTCCTCCCTTGAAACCTTATCCCTGCCTTTGATATACCCCCTTAAATAAACCTCCAGAGCCATTTTTCCTTGTCTAGTTCCAGAGCCCATGTGGACTAGACCGATCAGGGGCTTCACCTTTTGTAAATATATTTCTGAATATTTGTGTTTTGTTATTCACTAATTAGTTTAGATTTTGCATTTGAGGGTGGCTTAGATTCTCCCGGGCAGGAAGAAGAACCCCTCAATGAGACGTTGGCCCCCAAAAGCAGGGGGGCTTGGAGCTCAGCATTCTATGGAGAAGAAAGGAAGGAGGGCTGAGTTGACCCCGTGTGCACGAGAGTGCCTGCCACTGTGTGGGGTGTGGGTGAGAGTGTGAGGGGGTGCATGCACGCGAACGCGTGACACTGTGTGAGAATGCTTTGGATGTGGAATGTGTGTGGGGAGGTGCTGACCGTCAGGACGGGAGTGCATGTACGAGTGTGTGGGGGGATATAAGGATGTACTGCAGTGTGTGTGCATGAAGATGAGTCAGTGTGCGTTGGTGTATGAATGACAACGTTTGTGAGTGCCCGTGAGGACACTTGGAGGAAAGGAGAAGACAGCAGAGAGAAAAATCCAAAGTCCCACAGAATCCCCCAACTCAGAGATTCCCTGGGGTGGGGAAAGGGTGGGGCATGGTGAAGGGGAGGAGTCTCAGGGCAGACTGTTGGTTTCCAACCCCATATTGTTTTTTACAGGCGGTGTGACCTGGGGTAGGTCAATACACCTCCCTGAGCCTCAGTTTCCCCATCTTTAATGTAGTGATACGAGAGCACCTAGTTCAGGTTTGCTGTGCGGATGGAAAGAGACAGGGTGGGTGGCCAATCCCTCAGCGTAGGTCTGGGTAGAGGGAAGGATAGGACAAGAGGAGCTGTCACTTGTAGTCACCTCTGGGGTAAAACCTTCCCCGCTCTCAACGCTACACCACGCTGAGCCATGGAGGAAACTTTACGGCAGGATGGGGCCAGTTCCAAAGGACACTTCCTCCCTTTCTCGGCGCCTTAGTTCTCCCCTGAGCGACGCGGCTCTGCAGACCTGGGCCCGCGGGGTGCGCGGCGGGACGGTGGGACCGCGGCGGAGTGTGTGTGTGTGTGCGGTGGTGGGCCTCGCAGAGGTGGGGATGCTGCCCGGAGGACATTAACGTACTTATCTCCCTCTCTGTCGCTCTGCGGAACTCAAACGCAGTCCAGACGTGAGGTGTGGCCTCCGGCAGACCGCGCCCAGTGCCCCGCCCACACACGGCTTAGCCCACCCGGCCCGCTTTGCGATCCCTGCCGGAAGTCGCGAGGGACGGAGCTTTTTCGTGGAGACACTCCAGAGAGCCGCGCCGCTTTTTGAGAGTTCTCGGCAAAGCCCTGGGAGCGCCAGGCAAGGGTGCGGGGTAAATGCTAAACCCGACCTCAGACGCATAGAATCGCTGGCTCCTTAGCTGCGGGCGGAAATGAGGCCGGACCTCACAATCCCTAACTGACCCGGCTGCCTCGCTGGGTGAGGTCAGGCGGTTCTCCAAAGGCGCCTAGAAGAGGGGAGCAGCGTTTAAGTAAAAGGCTTTGTTGTTTTGAGTCCCTGCTTTTCCGCGTTCAGTGAGGCTGTGACACTTCACCTATCTGTAAAGTGGGGTCATTAGTTCGTGCCTCGTAGTGGAGAAATTATGAGACATAACGTGGAGGCCGCGTGCTCTCTGTCGAGGCCGTCGGCTCCACTTCGGCCCGCGAACGTTTCCCCTCACTCCACCTTCTGACCGTTTTCTGGAGAGGATAGTCTTCGTTCTTTTCTGCTCTTGGGAATTAAGGACGGCCCCTTGGTCGCTGTAGCGCACATTTCCCGGGTTGGGGGTGTACCCGGAAGTGCTCCTACGGAAGCCGGCTGGGCTGCGCGGCGTCTCACCATGGCGACGGCGGGGGCCCCGCGGCGATTCTGCCGCTGCGCCTGCTTCTGCTCGGAGAACTTGTACGTGGCGCGCTACGGGCTGCACCTATGCTTCCGTAGCGAGCAGCAGCTGCGCCAGGATTACGGTCCTGTGAGTGTCCTCTGCTGGCTTTCCTGGGAAGCGGGCGGAGGCTGGGGAGAAGCCTTTGGCCCCGAGATGGTTTGGCTTGCCCACGGCACACAGGGAGCCTCACTTAGGAGGAGAATGACTTTCCTCTCCATGCCTCCGTTTCCCTTTCTTAAAGGGGGGGGGGTGATAGCATCTCCTGTTAGTGAGCCGCGTGTGGAGGGAATGAAGAAACATGCGGGTAGAGCGCGCAGGGCAGGCCCTGGCTCAGGATGCTCTCTCGGTGTTGGTGGGAGTAACTGGGAACCCAGCTCTTCTTAACGCGGTCATCGCAGTTCCTTCTCTGAGGGATCCCGTGACGTACGGGCTCTCAACTCCACTTTAAGGAGGGGAAACTGAGACTCAGAGATGTTAAAGGACTTGCACAAAGTCACAAAATCATGTTCACTGGTCTTCCTGCTCCCAGATCCTGCGCAGCCGAGGCTGTGTCAGCACCAAGGACTTCCAACAGCTCTTGGCAGAGGTAACACTCCCCCACTCCCTGCACTGCAGCTTGGCCCCCCCTCTAGATTTGTGTCAGCAGTCTGAGGGGTTTCCCAGCCTCGGCCTGTCAGTCTCCGATCGCTGAAGGACTCCTCAATCCTCTGTACCTGCTTCCTGCTCCCCTCACCCTTACTCCTGCGTTCTGGCACCAGAAGAATAGAAATGGAGAAGTGCCAAGTTGTCTATGTCATGCCCTTCTTAACAGCTTTGTGAGGTAGACACATTTTGGGATGAGAAACTGAGTCTCAAAGAGGGGGGTTGCTTTCCTAAATTCTCACAGAGGATGGAGTTGAGATTACCAGGGCTACTACATCTCTGCCTCTTTTAACACCCCCCCCCCCCAGGCTGAGTTGCTGCTCATCTCCCACCTCCTCCCTCACCTGGGGGTTAGAGTTGGTAGCTTTCTAAGAGAGTCTTTTGCAGCCTCTGTAACACAGGATTTGACTGTGACCATTCCCCTCCCCATAGTGGGCCCAGCTAGTTGAGGGGCCTCCAGGGTCTCTCCTCCCATCCAGCCTAGCAGTCCCTCTTCTAGAAGTCCCTTTCAACTAGTAGTTTGGTATTTGCAATTGACTCAGGAGTATAGGGAGACTTGCCTTCCATCCTGGGCCCCATTCTGGCCTTCATGATCCTCAGTTTCTTCATCTGTACCATGGCTTCAGGGGAATGGGAGGCTCTGTATGATAATTTATCCCTGTGCCACCCCAGCTTCAGCAGGAGGTGGCGCGGCGGCAGAGGCTGGGGCAGGAGTCAGCTGCCAGGAAAGCCCTCATCGCCAGTTCTTACCACCCAGCACGGCCAGAGGTTTACAATTCACTGCAGGTACTAGGCAGGGAAATTGGGAGCTGGTTACTGGAGGGAGGAAGCAACCTTTTCAGGCCTGGGGTGCTGTCTTCCCCATAGCTGTTATGTTCTGCCCCCAGGATGCAGCTCTGGCTCCTGAGTTTCTGTCCGTTGCGGAGTACAGTGCATCCCCAGGTGCAGACCTCCAGGGCCTTCTCCAGCGGCTGCAGACAGTGTCAGGTGAGAGCATGGCATGACTTGGGGGTGGCAGCCTAAGATACCTGGGCAATAGAGACCGGGGTCCTCCCACCTATCATATTTGTTCTCAAAAACCCAACCAGCAGGAACAGGAAGGGCCAGTGAGACCAACCTGCCAGGAGCAGGGCATCTGTATTCATTTGTTCATTCATTCATTGACCAACCTTCCTGGCAAAGGTATAGTTTCAAATGACAGTCTGGCATCAGCTTGACCCCTGGAGAGCTCAGAAAGGGAACCCACAGTTGCTCACAGCACCAGTTAGTGACTTCAGAATGGGGCAAGGCAATGGTCCTGAGAAGTGAAGGATCTCACTATCTCCACTGTACAGATGAGGAAACTGAGGCTGGGGACAGTGAAAAGCCGCGCCCGCTCATGAGAAGATTGAGACCCAAGCCTGTCTGACCTTGCCTCAGAGCTCTAACCTACTATCTGTCTCCCTCCACAGAAGAGAAGCGCATCTACCGGGTGCCTGTATTTACTGCGTCTTTCTGCCAAGCCCTGCTGGAGGAGCTGGAGCACTTTGAGCGGTCAGACATGCCCAAGGGAAGGCCCAACACCATGAACAATTATGGGGTAGGTGAGGCCTGGCCCATGCACCCACCTGAGGAGTCCAGGCAGCTAGGATGGGAGACATATCTGAGGTGCTGCAGGCAAGCTGCCCATCCCTGCCTTCAGAGCAAGATCATGGTAGATAACTGTGACGGTATCAGTTTGCTTTGTCCTTAACAGCAAATCCCTCACCCAGGGAAGCAGGATAAGGCCCCAGCAGTCTTCCTGCTCACCACAGGCATCCTCTTCCAGGTGCTGCTGCATGAGTTGGGCCTGGACGAACCACTGGTGACACCACTGCGGGAGCGCTTCCTGCAGCCATTGATGGCCCTGCTGTACCCAGACTGTGGTGGGGGCCGGCTTGACAGTCACCGCGCCTTTGTGGTCAAATATGCACCAGGCCAGGACCGTGAGCTGGGCTGCCACTATGATAATGCTGAGCTCACTCTCAATGTGGCCCTGGGCAAGGCCTTCTCAGGAGGTGCCCTATACTTTGGAGGCCTCTTCCAGGTGAGTATTTCAGACCCATGGGACAGGATCTGGGTCAGCCATGAGTGCCCAGGCCTGAGATCTGCCATCTGCAGGCACCAGCAGCCCTGACAGAGCCCCTGGAGGTGCAGCATGTGGTGGGCCAGGGTGTCTTGCACCGGGGCGGACAGCTGCATGGCGCCCGGCCGCTAGGCACTGGTGAGCGCTGGAACCTCGTGGTGTGGCTCCGGGCCTCTGCTGTGCGCAACCGCCTCTGTCCCATGTGCTGCCGTGAGCCAGACCTGGTGGACGACGAGGGATTTGGCGACGGCTTCACCCGGGAGGAGCCCACCATGGTGGATGTGTGTGCGCTAACTTGAGCCTGGTTTGGCCCAGTGGTGGTGGGGAGGTGGTGTGGCAAGTGAGGACCTGCCATCTCAGGTTGGAAGGGGCAGAAATAAACTTGCAACCATGGAACTCCTTGGATCAAAAGGTTAGGCCAGCATCTGGGTCATTATTTCCAGAGGTAGGCTGGCTTAGTGCAGGTTTGCTTGAAGCAGAGCTTGATATGGGATTCATGGAGGGTGGATCCTCAGAGGGGAGTAAGGAAGCAGGAGAGGGTACTGAAAGTGTCTTCACAAAGATGTGGTTTCAGGTGACAGTCCAGCATCAGCCTGCTCCTGGGGAGCTCCAGAGCTAGAATTCCCACCAGTTGGCTCCTAGTAACAGTTAGTGGCTCCTGGATGGAGCTGTGAGGCAGGAGTAACTTCCCAGACATCTGCCTCCAGGGGAGGGTGGCTCCCAGTGGCTGCAGGAGGCCTTCAATGAAGAGTTATCAGTGGTGGACAGCACCAATTGCAACCTCTGAATGGGTGTGAAAGGCTTACTTCGGAGAAATCAAGAACAGATTTCTGGAGCCAGACTACCTGGATTCAGATCCTGGCTCTGCCACTTTCCACTCTGTGGCCACGGGTGACCCACTGACCTCTATGCTCTAGGTGCTATTGTGAGAATCCAATGACCTAACACAGATAAAGTGATTTATATCAGCCCTTGGCTGTGTTCGTTATTTTTATTGAAGACCTTATAACTGGGTGGCCCTAAGATTGATGAGTTGTGTACACAGAGCTGTGCTTTTTGGGGGCTACACATCTGAAAACCAAGGTGTTTTCCATATTGAAATCTTAAATTTTTATTTTAGTTGTTAATGGACCTTTTATTTTATTTATTTATAAATAAATAAAATAAAAGGTCCATGCTAGTAAATAAATAAAATAAAAGGTTTTTATTTTAAATAAAATAAATAAAAGGTCATTGAACCCAGTGTCTCAAACACGCTAGGCTAGTGCTCTACCACTGAGCCACAACCCAGTCCCCTCCATGTTGAAATCTTGAATTTTAGCTTCCTCCGGAAGGAGGGAAGACGTGGAAACACGCAGTCCCATTCCCATACTGCAAAAGCCACCTGGAGCGGAGTCTCAGCTGCGTACTTTAGAAAGGCTTGAGTGTCACTCTTTCATTAGGTGTCGTGAACTAACTCTCCGTCCCTTTATGGACACTTGAGTTTGCGACCTCTATATTACTGGGTATATATGTTAGAAAGACAGGGACGTCTCTGCTGGGATCTCACAGTCAGATGGGGTGGACAGGTTCGCAGACCAGCCAGGGAGGAACGTGGCGCGCGGGAAGATGGGGCTTTAGGTAGGTGGGCGATGCGGGTACGGCAACCAAAGCGCAGTCTTGGGAGACGGTGCGGCTGTGGCATAAATAGACGAGAGGCGCCTGAGAGCCCGGGGATTGGCGCCAAGCTGGAGACGTGTCCCAGGGCGGAGCGGCGGGAGTGGGCTCCCTCACCAGCGTGGTCTCTGCAAAGAGATGGGCGCTCCGGAGACGGAACCCGCGGTTTCAGAACTAAAGGCAGCATCGCCTCGCTTCCCACCCGGACAGCCTCCCCGCGCACCGCTCCAGGCCGGAAGTGGTCCGGAAGCCACCGTGCTGCTGCTTCCTTGCGAAGTCGGGGTGTGGAGCTGGCGGTCCCGTCCGATGGGCGGTTGAGGTGAGAAGAGGAGAGCCTCGGGGCCCTCTTTAAGGCGGCGAGGCCGCGAAGGGAGCAGGGAGGAGGATGGGAGCACGCGGGGAAGAACTCGGGACGCCCCTTGCGGTTGAGGAAAGCTGTCGGTTCCCTGGACGCCGCGCTTGGTGCGCAGGTGTGGAGCGTCCGGGCGGGGGCGGGACCTTAAAGGGGCCGACGCGTGGGGTCCCGGAGTCGGCGGAGAAGCCAGGGTCTCCAAAGGGGTGGAGGGGATAGCGCGGGTCCCCGCTGCGGTGCTGGGTATCGGGGGCCCTGAGAACCAGACCCCATTGGAGCCACCCTTGGAGCTCACACTGCTGTCCGGGTCCAGAGAGCCGCGGATTAAACGCGTCTCTTCCCATCGCCAGCCTGCGCCGCTATGGCTCACGTTGGCTCTCGCAAGCGTTCGAGAAGTCGCAGCCGCTCCCGGGGTCGAAGGTCGGAAAAGAGAAGGAAGAAGAGTAGTAGGGACGCCTCGAGGAATTGCTCAGTTTCTGGATCCCAAGGTCGTAAGGCCAGCACCGCCTCAGGGACTGAGGGTGAGGACCCCAGGGACTGGGAAAGGGGGTGCAGCAACTTCTCCGCAGGCAGCTGCAGGCAGCTGGGACTGGCTGTGGAGAAATCGGAATGAGAGCATTCAGGGGTGCAGAGTGGAGACTGGAGAACCCCCAGACAGGGAGGAGACTGGGCCCTGCCCAGCTGGTGAGTGTGGATCTAAGGGTTCACTTAGTGTAGCTATGAGAGGTGGAGCCTGGCCTCCTGCCCATGAGACAGTGTCCTGTGGAGCCCGGAAGGTGCTTCTCCAGGAGAGCACTGATCTCTTCTGGAGAGCCTGGCAGGGAGCGTCTCACTGGACAGACCTGGTCCTACCCAAGGCCAGAGCAAGGGGACCAAAGTTTACTCCTTGCCCTCCTGGCCTTCCAGCCTCACCTTCTCCCTGCATCACAGAGAGAAGCAAGCAAAAGGCCCGGAGGAGACCACGATCCAGCTCCTCCTCCTCTTCTTCCAGTTCTTCTAGCTCCTCTTCTTCCTCCTCGTCCTCCTCCTCTTCCTCCAGTGACGGTCGGAAGAAGCGGGGAAAGCACAAGGACAAGAAGAGGAAGAAGAAGAAGAGGAAAAAGAAGCTGAAGAGGAGGCGCAAAGAGAAGGCCGAGGTGCTCCAGGCCGAAGCTCCGCCTGGCCCCTCGCTGGACCAGTGGCACAGATCCACGGGGGAGGAAGACGATGGCCCAGGTACTGTGCCACCCGTTGTGTAGGAGGGAGAGAACCCCTCCCCAGGTCTGCCCACAGTCTCCTCCCATCTTCCTTTCCAGTCCTGACGGACGAGCAGAAGTCTCGTATTCAGGCCATGAAGCCTATGACCAAGGAGGAGTGGGATGCTCGGCAGAGTGTCATCCGCAAAGTGGTGGACCCCGAGACGGGACGCACCAGGTGGGGGTGCCAGGCACAGGCAGGCCCCGCGTGGTGTACCTGGGAGTTGTGACCCAGAATATGGGCTTTCAGGAGGAGTAGGGTGTGGTTGCAGCTGCTCCAAAAAGGCCAATATGGGAGAAAACTGTCACTTGTGACATATCAGCTGTTCTTCCCCTTTGCCTGGTGTAAGGGTCTCAGTGAGAGACCTTTTTCAAGCAGCTACTGTTGCCCAGACTGGTAGTGCAGGCTGGCAAGGCAGCCTACCTGGGCTCCCTACATCCCAATCCCAAAGGTGGTGGGGGCCGAATTGGCACCCAGGCTCCCCCTGCTCGAGCTGGTGGGGCCTGAGCCCTGGGGACCCGTTGCTGGTTGCTCTGGCATTAGGGGCTCAGCCTGTTTCTTGTTGATGGACATCCTCCCACCCTAGGCTCATTAAGGGAGATGGTGAGGTCTTGGAGGAAATCGTAACCAAAGAGCGACACAGAGAAATCAATAAGGTTGGTGTTGCCCCTTTCCCTGTGGTCTGCCCCCAGCTGTCTCTGATGTCCCACTTCTGTATGTTTTCTTCCCTAGCAAGCCACCCGAGGGGATGGCCTGGCTTTCCAGATGCGAGCTGGGCTGCTTCCCTGAGGGCCCCTGGCCGACTGAGGCCTGTGGACAGTGTCGTGCCATGGCCTGGAGGTTGGCCACAGGGCAGGCAGCAGCAACACTGACCGGTGCTGGTGGCTTTTCACCTGTGGAGCCAGTCCAGCCTCCTCAGGAGCAAGGTTAGAGGTGAGACTTACGGATGCCTCAGTAACCTCTCCTGAAAGAGCAAGGGCAGTGTACCTGATATTAAATGTTCTCTGGTCTTAGACTTCTTGCTCTGTTGCTTTTTGTGGTCAGGGTTGGGGAGATTGGTGTGAACTTCCAGGGGGCATTGGGCTTTAGGAGCTTTGGGGAAAGCTGGGATGTTGGGCCCCAGCCCTCTCTGCCCTGCTGCTCATCTGTCAGCCGATTGCACTACATCTGACTCCATGGCTTAGTCCCAAATCAGTCTTAGCTCTTCAATGGGACCCACTTATGCTTGGGGAGAGACAGCTTCGCTCAGTTCATTTCACAGATCACAACAGGTAAGGGCTAGGTGGCTTACTGCTGTGTCCCCTGTAAAGCAGAGAGGCTCACAAACCTGCCTCATTCGGCTATGCCTTGGAAGAGACACAAGTCCTGCATGAGTGTACTGGTGACACTGCAAGCAGCAGGTGGCACTGACTGGGAGGGTTTATGCTTTTAGACAGGTCCTTTTCCAACCTGAACCCCGAGGTGCCGCCGCAGTAAAGAGATCACAAGGAAGCCTTCCTGCTTCTTTAATTGGTGTAACAGACAGTGACATATACAGAGCACACTCAGGTCCAATGATGCAGGGACAGCAGGGAGGGAGTCAGGACACTGTTCACACATGGCCCAGAGACAGACAGCACGAGGACAGATGGGAGGGGTCCAGATGTGAAGGCTGCGATGGGGTGGGGCAGGAGGCAGGCAGCTCATACTGAGCCAGGGAGGGATGGGTCTCTGCTGAATCCTTCTTTAGAAATCAAAGAGAAGGCAGGTGGTGGAGCTGGGTGGTGGTTGAGGCTCAGTCCTGGGGTTCGGGGTGGGTGGGGTGGACTAAGGCTTCTATTCTAACAGGCCTGGGGTGGGGGTGGCAGTCAGCAAGGCCTGCCTCACCCTTTGGTTACGACTGGTCGGGCCTGAGCCCTGCAGCTCAGCACCCAACACTGTAAACATTTTTGGTATTTAAAGGACTTTGCCCTTCCCTCTCTTGGTTTCTGAAAAACTGGTGCTTCCTCGGGAGAGTGTGGTGAAAGGACTCTTAGGGAGGCAGAAAGCAGACCTGGCTATAGAAGAGACTTGGGAGGGAGGCTGCCCGTCTCACCGTCTATGGCTGAGGGCCTGGGAGAGGCCCAGGGGACTATTGCTGTTGTCCTTGGCATGGCTGATGACTGGGCAGGCTGTGGGGGGTGCGGAGCCATGGGGGCTTCCTTGGGAGAGGCTGAGTCTGCCCACAGGGCCTCCTGGCCTTTATTGCAGGCGGGCCCAGGACTTCCAGGTGCTTCTCTGGATGGCTAGTCACCGAGGTATAGGTGAGGTGGGGCAAGGTGGGGCTTATAGAGGCGGTGGCACTGGCCACAGGGGCCCCTGGCCAGGGCTGTGATTGTCGGGCCAGCGACTCTTGCTGGGAGCAAGGGGTCAGCTATTGCACTTTCACTGCAACAGTTACGAGGATACTTGGTCCATAAAATAGTCGTTGCTTTATACAATATGCCTGAAACAACAAAAAGCTACATCTTAAATGTGAATAGCCCTGGAGGCTCCATCCCCCAGGTGTTTTCTCTGCACAAAATAAATAGCTCTTCCTCTGTATAGGCCCCCATTTGAGAACATTTACATGACCCTTTGGCTGTACATATCTACACACGGGGAAAGTTGCCCTCAGCCTGCACACCTCCCCAGCCCAGCAGGGCCCTGAGCTGTATCCAGGTTGGCAGAGTCTCAGGAACAGAGTGCAGTGGCTGGAGGGCTGTCTGGGGCCTTGGGGATGGTGGAGGAACCTGGGGCGGCAGCCGAGGTTGCCCGGTGCTGGGAAGGGGAGACAGGTGTCAGGCCCGGGTGCAGCACTCCTGGTGTGGGTGAGAAGTGAAGTCCTGGCTGCCTGCCCTTAAGCTAGCAAGCGAGCTGTGGCTTAGATTCAGCATTGAAACGGAATTGGCATTAAAAAACCTAAGTGTGGCCCAGTCCCAACCCCCCTCCCCCATAGAAATTCAGTGGAATTAATGGGTCAGGTGAGGCAGGGAGCCCGCACCCCGATGAGTGGGCTAGGGTGGGGCCCACGGGACCCAGAACCAGGCTGGACTCCGTCACAGTGCTGGGTGTTCTCAATGTGGATGGGCTGCGCTTGGTACTGAAAGAGTTAAGAAAGGAAGCAGCCAAGGATTGCTCATTTAAAAAAACCTCATAGAAATCAGGTTGAGAAGTAGAAAGGCGTAGAAACGCGGAGGGCAGGCGGGTGGGTGGGCCACGGCCTGGGGCCCTACCGATGGCAGGCAAGGAGAAGAGACCAGGCTTGTCCAGGCCCCATGGCCCAAGGTGGGACAACGAGGGAGCCGGCCTTGTGTTTCATTGGCCTCATGCCTGGGCTGTGCTCAGGGCTGGAAATAACACCAGCCCCATGACGGCACTGGGCCCCAGCTGGGCAGACAGGCGGGCAGGGGTCCCGGGGCTGCCATGGCTCTGGCAGGCCAGGCAGGGCTGCAGGAATTAAGATATGGCCTTGCTCTCCTGCTTGCACACGGATTTGCCAAACTGGAACCTTCTGTGTGGTAACAGGTCCTGGATCAGCAGATATTGAGTTTTCATGCATGTCAGCGAGTCTGTAGCCATAGATGGTAAAGGGTCCCACATTCAAAAACCAGGGCAAAACCAGTGAGGTCGGACAGTTGAGAATCTGGAGTCAACAAGAAGCAGGCTGGACCCCTGTTGGAGCTGCTACCAAATGGAGGGGACCTTGGGGTGGAGGATAGTGGACAGGGAGGTGGCAGGATGGGCTCAGGCCCACCCCTGGCACCAGGAGGCTGGGAGACCAACACAGGGCACAATGTCCAGAAGTGCCTCCCAGGCCAGGCTCAGTGGGATGTCTTGGTCCTTCTGTCATCCTTGCTGGTTGTCCTGCCGTCTTCCACGATATGCTGGACCCCACAGGCCCTATGACAGGAGGCAGGGCTGGGAGGACTGGGTGGCATGGCCTGTGTCCTCCAGTGGGCCGTGGGACAAGCTCTCAGGCGTGTCTGTTCCTCCCCAGCCACCTGCGTGTGCTTAGGCCAGACCTGGTGGAGCTGGAACCCTGGCCTAGCACTGCCTAAGAGACCATGGTGCCTCGCTGACGGTGCCCTACTTGGGGCCCGTGGCTGTCCCTGGATCAAGCCGGCCTGTCATGGTGCGGCCCCAGCAGCTGGCCGCCATGCTCATGCTGCGCTGGCCTCGCTGTTCACAGTCTACCTGGCCCTGCGTCCGCTCGAGTCGGCTGGGGCCGCTGGGCTGAGCTGAGATGGTGCGGAGCAGGTGGTTCCGGGAACGCAGGAAGTCCCCCTGGCCAGGAAGGCCGAAGCTGCCCTTGCGTAGTGCCATGCGGGTGGCGGTGTTGCGGGCTGGCCGTGCCCGGTGGTTGTACTTGAGCTGGGCCAGGTGGGCTGCGTAGCCATCCGTGATGAACTGCAGGGGCAGTGAGGAGGACAGGCCATCAGCGGAGGTACCCCAGCTGCTCCCTGGCCCCTGGTTCGCCTACTCACCTGGCACTGCTGTTGCAGCTTCTTGGTGGGCCGGCCCACAATGTAGATCTGCATGGGGGACAGGCTGATGGAGCTGTAGACCGCCACGTCCTTCGTGGAGCCGTAGGCCGCGTGCACGCGCAGGTGCAGCTGTGGGCAAGACGGTGTGGGCGTGGGCACGGCCTCTGCTCCCATCTGTGCCCTGCCCCCTCTCCCTGGACCCACCTCAGAGATGAGCAGCTTCAAGAAGTTGGCCTTGTGCCGCAGTGGGTCGTGCACCAGGCCATCACAGAAGGACACCACGCCGTGGGGGAAGTTGTGCTGGGCCAGCCACGCCACCACCCGCTGCTTCTGCATATCCGGCCGGCCCGTCACATAGATGATGAGGTAGCCCAGGTCCTGCCAGTGCCTGGGGCGAGGGGCAGGCCTGGGTGTCCCATGCTGCCTCTTCCTCCCTCTGGGCCTCCCTGTCTCCTGCCCAGCCCAAGTGCCCTGCTTGGGCCACTGAGAAAAGCATCTCTAACTGGACTCAGACAACATGTCAATAGAAATGGCAGTGACGTGGCAACAGACCCTCCAGTGTCCCAGTGAGCCCCACAGTTGCAGCCCTGCAGGAGAGCTGCCTGTTCTTGCCAGCCTTCCTCTCCAGGGAACTGGACACCAGGCCACCCACAGTCATGCAGCTAACCAGTGGTGGTCTAAGGCTCCAGGCCTGGACCACAAGGTCCAGGGCCATGCAGGTCCTCATTCTGGTGCCACCAGGTCTCCCTCGCCTAACATGCAGGAGCCTCCTGCTGCTGAGCCCACCCACCTTGTGAAAGTCTCACTGTGCCCATGGGGCCACTCACCGCACCACATCCACGGCCCCGGCCCGCACCTTGGGGTCGCTGCCCATGATGGACACGCTGGCGGCAAAGGAGCCGTCGATGCTGAAGACCACAAACTCCGTGCCCTTGGGCAGCACAGTGATGTAGCTGTCAGCAAACGTGTGGTCTCCCCTGGCCAGTGGGGACAGCTTGTCAGAACCAACCAGAGCCCCTCATCTTGCACCCCAGAGGCGGGCCCTGTCCTGCCACCCCTTGGAGGTGCATACCTGACCACCATCTTGATGGGGTAGACCCCCACTCCCAGCCGGTGTGTCTCGGGGATCGTGTAGGAGACACGCCCACTGCTGTTGGTCACCAATGTGTCCAGGTATAGCCACTCACCCGAGGGTGGCTGCATCATGATGTGCACGTCCACCTGTGAGCAGGGGCGAGTGGTCACAGCTGGTCATACCCTAACCTCCTCACTCCAGGTGCCTCAGCCAAGGGGATGTGCAGGCTCCCTGAGGTCCCCCTGTTTCCTCACCTTCTCCCCGGTTAGGGTGACCATGTCCAGGGGCCCATACATGAACCGGCCTGTCACAACTTGTGGGCCGTCCTCGTTGGCAACTGCGTCACTGATCCGGTGGTTGGCCGTCACGTTCTGGGGAGGGGAGAGCTAGCCTGGGTCAGGGTGGGGCATGGAGAGCAGCTGGGGTCTCCGAGGCTCAGTGCATGCTCCCTTGGGC